CCACAGCTCATATAAATTGTCTTAGCTTTACAGGATCATTTGTTCAGCTGAAATCATTATCTCAGCTCTGGACCTCTCCCTGAAAGTTTCTTACTGGTAACTCCAGTGGTTCTGAGGAAGGTCCAGATAAACCAATTTACCTTAAAAATCTCCAGTTACATAAATGGATAGAAAGAGTTCTATAATTTTAAAGTTTATAATGTAATTCTAGAAAGAATTGCATATAAGAAAAGAAAGAAAACTGATCTTCCTTTTTCATGAATAAAGTATAAATTAAGTAAGTAAATTATAGCTAAGCTACTGCTCTGGCTCCAGCTGTGCAAAGCCCGTGCCCACAGTCTAGGTCCAGCTACTCATCAGCGTCCTCAAACACTGCTCCTTCAGATGCAGCAGCATAACTACTCCCATGCTTAATCTAACTTTCAGCTAAAGAAGCAGAGCAGGAGTAATAGGAGCGCACACAAAACTGCAGCCAGATCAGAATGTCAGTGCACACTGAAATTACAAGAAAAGAATGTGGAATGAAGTGGAATGAAGTTTCAGTATGTCAGCTGATGCCTGATTTTAAAGATCAGTTTAAAGGACTTTTCCTGAGAATATACTAGAAACTGTTTAAACTTCAGCTTCAATACTTGAAGAAAACCAACTTCTGCCATACAAAACACTGCTAAGTAGTACATGGAGAAATACTGACGAGGAAAATATTAAACACAAGATGGCAGCAAAGCTGAATTTATCAGAAAGCAAAACCAGCAAAAAAACCCTGAGAAAAATCTGAATGCATTTTAGCTCAAGTACTCCTCAGGTATTCTGGTAGTTGTGCACTGCAGAGGACATGGCCTTGAGGTTCTCTTGGTGAAATACTCTTTGAGCACTTAGAAAAAGAGGAATAAAGGAAAAGTAAAAATATACTTATTTTATGCAAGTCCTAGACCAGCTTATTTAAGCTCTGTATTGAAACAACTGACACTGAGGATGGTATTTGCTTCTGTGTACATGCCACCAGGAGTGGAAGAATAGGGGTCAGAGAATTCCCTGTACCCAATGGGCCTGGACTGTTGAGGCATCTTCATAACCACTTCCATCAGGACAAGTTCAGCCATCGCACTGCACAGAAGAGATCTAAGAGCCAAGGACTCTTGTCCTAGGCTTATGCTCACAGTGGGGTTTTCTTGTTATTGGTGTTAGAAGTGGCACTGCTGCTAAAGGCAGGCTCATAATTTTAAAGAGATTTATATTAAATAATAAAGAAAAGAAACACAGTGCTCTCTTCTTTCAAAAAGGATTTCTAGAATGTATTTCAAGGTGGTCTTCACATGTGAAGAGGTGAAAATAGGTGATTTGTTTCACCAAACATCACATACAATGCCTGATGTGTTCATATCAACAATTTTTCATTTCAGTCAAGTGTGTTATAGTTACCACATTCTGAGTATTTAATCAGTCACATCAATAAAGAGTGAAGGTCTGAACTCCGTAATACAATGCTACTCCTTACCCTAGCGCCACGAGGATTTCAACACAGAACCTGAAACAAAATCCAACTACTTCTTGAGACTTTATTTATTTTTATGCAGAGCTAGTGACCTCAAGACTGCCTGGTCATTTCATTCTCACAGGAAGAAGACTGTACTTAGGTTTCGGATAGGGGAGGAATGTAACCTTTGGCCTGCGGCACATCAGCCAGAAGTCCCTGTCTCCCTGGTTTCATTTTATTTGTCAGTAGATAGCACTTTTTCATCAGATTAAAGTGAACATAGTTCATAATGTAGAAAATCCAAGTAAGGGGCTAATTGCCTTTAATGTCCACAGTGAAGTCTCGTGGAAGTGAATGCAATTACAGGCAGGGTTTTTAGGGCGGTAGGTTTTTTTTTTCCTTTAAATAAACACTTCTTGACTTTGTGACATTTAATGGACCACCCCTCACATTTCTGACAGTTTACTGCTTATGAACCCTGAGGCTGGTTTCTCCAAGCTGAGGAAGTTCTGGCATCACTGAGGGACAAAGTGGAGCTCTAGGAAGGCGTTTGTACTTCTCTTAACAAGCACAACACCCTCAGAAAGTGGCATTGGTTTGGATTAGCTTCTCTGGGCCCACAAAGGCAAAGCTAGGATGACAGAATTCTGTCACTTACTTTGCATTGTTAACTTGCTCTAAAGTAAATGTTAGCACTATTTTGTCCTTGAAAAAAATTTATATTCATGATCTGCATGAGAAGATTTAGTTTTGTTGTTTTATTCTTGGAAATAATCAAGATCTAGATCAAGATCTAGAAGGATCACAAAGAGGCAGCTGTTAGTTACTCGCTCTACTACACATTAGTGACTCCATGAAACTAGATGCAGAGAACAGCACAGAAATCCATGGCTTGAGGAGCAGCTGAAAAAGTCTACTCTAAATATTATCATCCTGTATTTAGAGTATGAGTCATTAGCATTTTGTACCTTAAAGTCGCTTCCCACTCTTCTCCAGAAATGAACATACTCTTACCAACTTGCACTGTCCTCATGTCCTAGGTGTAACGTGTAAACCACTTGACAATTTTTGCTAGGCTACTTCTCTCACTCTGGTTCCCCGACTATCCTTATTTTTTGGCATAGACAAACTAAGGAACTTGGAAGGAGCTCCAGCAGATCATTTACTTTTCAAGTTCTATTTCCATGTCATGAACTTACCCTTCTTTCACCCAGGCATCACAATTTCCTCCTTCACTGCACTAATGGCCTCTGTGTTGCTAAACCCTCCTTCAAAGAGTCTCTTAGTACCACGACAGACTGGGAATTATATGGAGTCGTGACACTGAGATGATAAATCAGAGACACGAGCAGCACATGCACTGGAATGCCACACAAGCAGCAGAGGTCCGAAGGAGGAATGTCTATCTAGACACACCATCAGGCATCTTCTAGCACCTGAACATCCATAGAGCACACAGAAGAACATTAATAACATGGTGATTCTTTTGATATGCAATTTTAAAGTTCTAGGCATTGTCCTTATACTCTTGCATCTAGGAGCACATACTCATACTTCCAACAACACTTACATAAACTATGCCTTTTTAGAAAGTCTACTACGAACACTGTTAAAAATTTTTTTCTCATGGTCCTATTGATGTGTAATACAACTTCATTGGTGTAGTTTGCCTTATGGGTTTTAGTAAATGCTTTTATTCCAGCATGTTGTATGCAACAAACTAGGAAAAAAAAAAGGTAAGAATTTTGAAGCTTCAAAATTTTATAATTTTTATAATTTAAGCATCATTTATATTCAGATTGATTATAAAAAATTCACATCTGGAGCTAGAAGACATTGCCTGCAAGGGCTATCATTACCCAGCCATCAGACTATTTCCCGCACCGTCTTCTGGAACCTGTGCACAACAAGCTGCATACTGGAATAAAATGCCTACTGATCTGACACAGGATGGCAATGGACTGTCAATGGATTGAAAGTAATTTTTACCACCTGGAAGTGTACCGTTGGTGACAAAAAAAACCCCAGGTCCACAAGACTGAGGTTACCAGTAATTTCCCCTTCTTGCTTGCTCATTATCAGCACTGATGAACTGAAAAATTGCTCTTTCATTTCAGTAATTCATAGCTGCTCCTAGCCAAAAGGAGAAAGCTCAGTATCTCCAGCTAAAACATATAAAACCAAATTTATTCTTCCTCTCTGTCTAGAACATAAGATGGAAAATACCATATTTTACGTACAAGCAATTGCATGATTATAATTCCCAGTGTACAAAGTCTTCTCAATGCATGAAGTTTCTATTACTTTAAAGGAGAATAAAGTCTGCTATCCCAGGGTCAGAGCTAGGTCAAGATTGCTAGATCTTTCCAGGATGTGAGAGTTTTGCAGAAGTAGACAGAGAGACACTCCGGATTAATCTGTGACAGGTAGAAAAATGTTCTTATTTATGAATCCGAGCAAATTTTTAGTCTCTAAGATTTGGCAGTTGTATGCCATAAAGATAGGATTTCTGTAAGTATTGCTTGCTGAATCCAGGTTCATTAGCTTGCATCAATGTCAAACATTCACTATACAATACATCCTCCTCTCATGGCAAGAAGGCATCTGAGGAGCTCTTCTTAGTGACATCAGGTGTTAGAGATGTAATTCAACCTGTTTCACAGTCAAGAGTGCTGCTTTGGTTAGCTGTAAGGAAGCTGGAAGATGGTGTGGAGAGAGAAAAAAAATTTACTTGTCATATTCCTCTTTCACAACTGATGCTCTGCTAAGCTCGGCATGCTTAACGGGAAGGGACAGACGACATGAGAAATTCTCTGTCAAGCGCTACAGGTACTAATTAAACAAGGCAACTGTCAAGCTAGTCCTGTATGACACGAAGAGTAGTAACACTACTAATGCCAGAGAAACTGCTAGCACATCATACTGAAGCAGCTTTTGGTACTGACTGACTCAGAAGAGAAAGTTAGGGGTGGGGGGCAGAAATACAGCCCAGGAGAAAATCCCAGATCTAAATATTATCTTTGAAATACAACTTTATCTTCCTCTTTAAGGCATATCAACATATGTTTTCTTTTAAGTGTGAAGTAAACTAAAGAAAATGACTCCATGAACAAAAAAAAGAACCACCAACATACCAAATCCTATAGAAAAACTGATTTTCTCGTTTACTTCATGTCTAACTTGAAAAAATGTATCTGTAAAAAGCCTAAACGGAATATTTAAATCCAAAACCCATCTGTAAATACAAGGTAACATCCGTTGTCTTGCACAGACACAACATTACATGTCCCATTCAAATGTTATGCACACTCCAAGTCATCAGACATTTCACTTCACAGTAGATATGATACTCTTACATAATCCTTTAATAAACATGGAAAGTGCCCAAATTAAGATCTTAATGTCCGTCTATGTACAACCAACCTGCAATCACAATTTAAAAAGGAAGTAAAAATAGTTATTGTAAATTTGATTTCCAGCTTTAATTGCATGCATTCTAAAGCAAATAAAACATAAAACTTACAGGTTCTACAAATTCAAATTTCTTTTTCTCTTGTACTTCTTGAATTTTAAACACATATTCTAATGATGCTTCATAAAAGTTTTGATGTTCTCTGTCAATCTGTGTATCTGCCTAAAAGACAAAATGTAATACAGACATTAATTCACTCTCATGATTCCTTTAAAAACAGATTTTATCATTAACAAACAGATATTCCACAAAAATATTTCACAAGCTTCATGGGGTTCAGTTTTCCTCCTGAAAATTAGAATACATATTTAAAATAGCTAAACACAATTTTAAGACGGTAGCATTACACACTATAGCCTCATGCCTCTTGCCCCATCCTTTTCGGGTTTTTTGGTTTCCTTTCTCTTTTTGCACCTTAATATTCTCATTTTCAAGAGAGCCTGGAGGGAAACAAAGCTGGCAGCAGGAACTCTGTCCCTGGTATATTGCAAGTTTAGATAAATAAATAGAAGAGAGAAAGATAGAAATTAAAAAGTGTCAAAAAGATAATTATTTCTATTGAAATGTTTGAGTATCACATGCACTGAAATCATATCTATTTCCCAGCTTCAAATATCTTCCCGAGAAGGTATTTTCATTCTTAAATAGACCATCTTTAGCGATGACATCTTGCAACTTATTATTTCACAGTATGAGTCACTTGAGGCTCTTGGAATGTAAACATATTTAACTCCTTTACCTCATAAATCAATGATTTTTCACATTTTAATTTTCAAATGCCAGAACTACAAGGCAATTCTTGTCAGAAGTGCCTGAATAATACCACCCGACATGAAGATCCAGGACCAAAACAGTGTCTTCTGCCTAAACAGCTGAAGAATTAATTCTTATCAGCTGATAAAAAGTAAAGGGCTTTTATCCTCAGTTTAAACAAGCCATGGGAGAAGGACCAGACAAGCAGTGTAGGATGTGGATAATGCTTAAATAGATTCCACTTTAATTTATCCTTCCGTGCAACCAATAATTTTCTCGAACAAATCCCCTTGGGGCTGCATTAGTTAGGTTTTGCTCTTAGGTCAAAAAGAAATTTTATCAAGTATCAACAACACGAGTAAGACAAGTTCAGCTATTTTTGACATATACCAGTTAAAATGTAACAGTGTACTTCTGTACATTCTCTAGTTCAATTATGGCATTAAAAATAACAAATATGGGAAAACTGCAAAAGCTAGATATTGTCTTTCCTTGAAAGTAAACATCAAACCAGCAAAGGTGTCATAAAAGAGGTTTAGAAGTTTTAACAGTACAAATGCAAAAAGTCAGTATTTTCCTTTAGGCAGGACTTGGTTATCAATAACATCATATATAAACAAATTTCTTCTTTAGTCAAGGACATGCTACTGTCCTGATTTGGCTGCACAGACTCTTAACAACATCGATTCCCTTCCCCAGCACAGTGCTCTCACACCACTTCAAAGCATGTGCCCCAATGAGATGTTTCAAATGGTCCAGTACGAGCATTTCCTTCTCATGCCTACAAAAAACTAATCAAGAAATTAAGTACACATACTACTATTATGAAGCAGAAACCAAGCACTCAAAATTCCAATTAGGAAGTGTCTTACCATCGAATTAACTCTACCGTGTGCCGTTCATACAGTGCATTTGGCTGCTGTTTTCTTTCACACTCAACATGTTAACAGGTTTATTTCACAAAAAATATATTGCAAAGCCAATGCTACATAGCTGAATTGAACTAGGTGCCACCACTTTGGGACACGACCTAGCAAGCCCTTGCTCAGGAGTGTCATCAATAAAGCACTTAAGACAGAATTCGGCTCTTATATTTGATTGTAAGCAAATAACGGAGTCCGGTTTTAAAAGGAGCTCTATCAGGCTTTGATTCAGAAAAAGTATTTCCATTCCTAACTAAATCCATATCTATCCTAAACAGCATTGAAGCATATTGTAGTTGTAATGAAACTTAGGACAACCAAGTGCCATCTCAAATATGGATAGGTTCCCAAATTAAAGCCATGATCACTACTGCTGTACAGGGACTAACTAATAATTTCCAAAATACACCTTCTGCTGAAGTTTACAAACTTTTGGGAACACCAAAGATTCAGATTTCTAAGAACTATTCTGAAAGTGATTTTCAAGTTTCAAGAGTGAAAAGGATTTTCACATATTTCTTTTCTGTGACTTCAAACTGCATGCAAAAAAAAAAAGATTTGATGGATATGATTTTGGGTCTCTATTTGTATGATATGTAGTCATAGTGAACAGAATTTTCATTCATGTACAATATCATTAAAATATATACCAGACCTCCACAAAAACTTGGAGACTGAAGCCTTTTCTCTATATTTGATTTATGCCTGATTCTGGAAAAGATTTTGGAGAAATAAAATCAAGGATTTATTCACTTTTTCACATCACTCAATTATGACCATTTTCTGCTCCACGGTGGACTTCTGTAGGCAGTGAAAAGACAGTGCTATGAAGTTTCTTTTTGATGCTTTTGGGGACTGACCTGCTGGAGAGCAGTGTAGAAGAAAGGGACCTGGGGGTTCTGGTGGACAGCAGGATGCCCATGAGCCAGCAATGTGCCCTCGTGGCCAAGAAGGCCAATGGCATCCTGGGGTGTGTTAGAAGGGGAGTAGCTAGTAGGTCGAGAGAGGTTCTCCTGCCCCTCTACTCTGCCCTGGTGAGGCCACATCTGGAATATTGTGTCCAGTTCTGGGCCCCTCAGCTCAAGAGAGACAGGGAACTGCTTGAGAGAGTCCAGTGCAGAGCCACAGAGATGGTGAAGGGAGTGGAACATCTCCCTGATGAGGAAAGGCTGAAGGAGCTGAGTCTCTTTAGCTTGGAGAAGAGGAGGCTGAGGGGTGACCTCATTCATGTTTATAAATATGTCAAGGGGGAGTGTCAGGAGGGCGAAGCCAGGCTCTTTTCAGTGATGTCCAATGACAGGACAAGGGGCAACAGGTACAAGCTGGAGTATAGGAGGTTTCACAAAAATCATGAGGAAAAACTTTTTCACTGTGAGGGTGACAGAGCCCTGGCACAGGCTGCCCAGGGAGGTTGTGCAGTCTCCTTCTTTGGAGACATTCAGAACCCGCCTGGACGTGTTCCTGTGCGATCTACTGTAGGTGATCCTGCTCTGGCTGGGAGGCTGGACTAGATGATCTTTTAAAGTCCCTTCCAACCTCTAACATTCTATGATTCTGTGATGTTAAAGTGTAATAATCTGTACACTGCATAAGCAGTCTTGCGGGCCCTTAAAATGTTCAAAAATTTCAGTTAGATGGATATATGTAAACCACTCTCTTCAGAATATGTTCAGATCATCAAACCTCAGATATCTAATTAAGGTGCTCTCAACTGTACTCAAAGTATGCAATATAGCTCAGTACAGTGTGACAACTACTCCTTGCTCATCCCAGTACTCTAACTCACATCATGTGATGAGGTACTGAGAAATTCTAATAATTCAAAGAAACAGTGGGTTAAAAAAGAAGTATTGTTCAGTGTAGACAGTAGCAGTTAAAATATGCTATTGTCACCTCACTAAATGCAAGAATCACAGAGTTATAGAATGTGTCGGGATGGAAGGGACTTTTAAAGGCCATTTAGTTCAATCCCCCTGCAGTGAGCAAGGACATCTTTAACTAGATCAGGTTGGTCAGAGCCCCATCAAGCCTGACCTTGAATGTCTGTGGGGATGGAGACTCCAGCATCTCTCTGGGCAACCTGTTCCACTGTCTCACCACTCTCACTGTAAAGAACTTCTTCCTAACATCCAATCTAAATCTACTCTGCTCTAGCTTAGAACCATTGCCCCCTATCCTGTCACTACACGCCCTTGTAAGCAGCTCCTCCCCAGCCTTCCTGCACTGATGTTGGCCTGAGGCAAAGACTTGCCTTGCCTCGAGCACCAGAGCCCCAGGTGCGAGCACCGCCTGGTTCCGTGCTCGTGCCCTGGCTCTGCTGCTCCTACGAACCCTGTCCTGGACATCTGCACTGTGAACACAGCTCGTTCAAACCACCTTGGATGAATCACCACGGATTTTGGGCCATAAATTGATGCTTGGCCTCCTTTTATTTACGATACAGATACAGGTCAAAAGTATCCCCAGTTAACATTTTTGGTACTGATCCACTACTGCACCTTCCACTTCTGGCGGGTCTATGTTCCTGCTTAAGCACACCTACAGCTGCACAAAACCAGGGGAGACAGAAATGACAAGTTACACCCTCGATGCTTCACAAGTGGAGCATCCAGAAAAGCAAAAATCTTCAGCCTCAGTTGCAAGATTTTTAAATCCAGAGATGTCACGTAAGGACACAGTGGAAAAACTTATTCTGCTTTTCCATTAGTTTGTGTGCTTGAGCCAAATCCATTGTTATTCTACTACAGTTTATTAGATTCACAGTTGTTACTTTGTTACTTTTCACTTCAGTTGCTGGTTTTAGATTGCAATTATTCTCACGTCTCAAGACCAAATATTTTAGTTATTTTATTTTGTTTCTATTCTAGAGTGAATTAGTGCTTAAGTTCACTTTCCCACATTTTGACAATTTTTTTTTCCTCAGCTAGTGCATAACCTGTAACAGAACTGCTTCACAGGATATTTAGGAAAGTTGCTAGCTGTACATGTACAACTGACATACAAGTGTAACAGTTAACCAATCCTTCATAACTAATGGCTTATTTAAAATGATTATTCTACAGACGGCAACGGCAATTCAGAAGGATAAGCATTATCCTTCTCTGGAGACATTCAAAACCCACCTGGACACGTTCCTGTGTGACCTACTGTAGGCGATCCTGCTCTGGCAGGGAGGCTGGACTAGACGATCTTTAGAGGTCCCTTCCAACCCCTGACATTCTGTGATTCTGTGATTATTATAATTTTTGAATTGCTAAGCTTCATTTAATTCAAATAATAGTATTATTGGTAAACACGCAAAAAATGTCCTACAATTTGTGAATGAGTGATAGTTACATCTTCTGTGAAAAATCCATTTGCAAACTAAACCCCATGATTTAAGAGCCACTGTGGCAAGTGTAATCTCATCAGAATACTTTTTATCTACTTCAGTACAAATCCCCAAGTGCTACTGGTATCAAATTGCTAGTTTTACTGTAATTTGCCTCAAGGACAAATAATAATTATTTCTTAATTATTTCTACCAGCATACTGAAAAGCCCTTGAATCCTCCTGTTAAACTAGAAGTCTTCATGATTTGCTTTTTCGTAATAAAAGAAGTATTAGCCATAGTATTAGCCAGATTTTTCAAAGCTGAAGTTGTGGATACAATTTCAGGGCATGATGCTGCAATCTCCGAATAAGGTGAAAAAGACAAAAAAGCAGTATAAAATAAGCATCATCAAAGTCTTCTCAGTTCAGTCTCTCAGACTAAAATTTGTGAAATGGAAGCATAATTTCATCGAGTAATAAATTAAGTAGCCAAAAAAACCCAAATATTTGGCTTTCAAATATCGCACATACACCTTAGAGAATTGCAATTTTATTGTAGTAATATAATTCTGGTTTTGCAACCAATAGACATTGGCTGTACGTGAGGTACACAAAATTGGACATGTAGAATGCTGCCTTGTTAAAAATCTTAACTCTTATTAGGGTCATATTAATTCCACTCAAGAATTCATACTTGCAACAAGCAGGACTACGAGAAATCACCACAATTTCAGATCAACAAAATACAGAATCTCTTGAAGAGAACCAGTCTGTTATCATGATCTCTATACATATGGGAAACTCAGTGTGTTTAGTGCTTACATCTTGCAAATGAGATTCTTTCTTCTTTGCTGATAAATTTAAGTGCTTCTCTAGGATCGAATAATATTTCTCACTTTCCTTGTCAAACTTCTTCTTCCCATCCTGAAAAACAAAACATTGCAAAGTAAAGTATTTGACTAAATATCACAGCTAACTTAAATTCAAAGAACGAATAGGTGTCAAAAAACCGCCTAGTTATAAAGACAATTTTGTTGGTTCCAGTGTTTTAGGGCTTAACTCTGGATTGGGCCTGAAGATACTAGGAGGACTGATTAAATACTAAATTTAATAATGCAATTTAATATTGCATTATTAAATGTAATATTTAGCAAGGATCTTTCCCATAATAAACCTATACAACAGACTCAGATCATCTCCCTTAATAACAATACACAAGGTTTTATGTAGGTGTCTTTCTAAGTAGCCATTTAATCCAAAATAATCTTCCCCAAGTTTTATAAACGTGCCTACCTGCCACACTGTCTTTACTGAACAAAAACACCGTGGAAGAGGAAGGTGAGCAGAGGTTAGACCTAATATGCTTATTTTCCACCCACACTAATATGAGGAAGATGGAAAAGCACATTCATGGTTGCAAAAGGCAAGTGGTCCAAAAATCTGTTTCAAATAATGTTTTGATGTGTCTGATTATTTAAGCTTGTATCCCTTAGAAGAGTTATTCTGCTTTTTTCCTTTCCCACTCAAGTTTTTTCCCCTCATGTGCAGACAATCCTTACATTGCTACTAATAGACCACTTTAACACATAATAATACAGAAGAAAGCTACTGCTATGAGTAACTTAACTTAGAATTTATCCCTCAAAATTTTTTAAATCAGCTATTCTGAAATTTAAGAAAAGGATTGCTTTCTCAAAAGCTTTTCCATCCTTCAAGAAGTGCCAAATTTCAGGAAATAGGAGAAGGAATTGAAGTAAATAGCCCACAAAAGTATTACAAATAATAAAAATACATTTTTTAATTTTAAGACTATATATCCTCTAATTAAAAGCTACTCTCTGCCAGTGACTTTTACATTCTTAGGTAAGTCTTAATGATTCTTTCTAATGATAAGTTGAATATTTTGAGAAAACAAAGAAAACTCAAGGTGATCAGTCCTACTCAGACATATGCAAAAGCTACTAATGTTGGAAAAACTAATTACTGAACATAATGCAGTAACATCAGTTCATCTTAAGAACTGTAATGATTCTTTTCCTGACCCCTTTCTCCCTAGAAATTGCTACATACAAACCCAAATAACTACCCTGCATTGTAGCACCACCCTTTTTTTCTTTGTCATATCATAGGCAAGTCAGGTCAGCCAGAGAAATAAATACAAGGAAGAATTAAATGTCTTGAAAGAAAACTTATCAACCAGTTGTAACAACAAAACACTTACTGATTAGCTCTAGTGGCTAAAGTTCACAATGGCAATTACACTAGATAATAAAACACACCATATACTTTCTGTCCTGAAAAAAGTTCAAATATATTTAGTATGAAAAATATGCACAATTTAATGTTCTCATTATCTCACAACAGAAACATCTTCGAAAGACATCATAAGGAAAAGAAGGGACTTGATCCAACAAAATATTAATTAACATAGAAAAATTCCCAATGCCTTCTATATTTAATTGCAGCTATGCAGCTATGAGGGGAAAAAAAGGAAAAAAAGGAAAGAAGAAAAATAAAAACTTTCATTTCATCTGGGAAGGGAAAAGAAGCTGTACGAATTATCTTCCAAAATCCTCCCCAAATACATTCTTCGAGAGAGAAGGCAGAAGGCAGGACATGCCAAATGACCCATTAGCCAAGAGATCAGCTTTCGTGGGACTGAAATCACAGGTTGATTCCATAACCACGGTTTTATTGGGGAATCCTCAAGTGCCAGGTCTTCATGATCAAACAACAGCAACCTAGTATGTCAACATCTCCTCTGGTCAGTTCAGTTGATCACGCACCACAGATACATATTTTTTGAATAAACGGCGCAGCTAGTTGTATACTGTCTTCTGAGACAGGGATGATAAAATGTTGGACAAAAAAGGTTAACTGGAGTACTTCAAAATCCAAATGATGCAGCTGGCTAAGTCACCATCATCTCGAGGAAATCCTGAAGTCAAAGGCAAACTCAACTGATACAATGAAAAATACAAAGAGATTTACTGTTTAATTTTTTTTCCACGTCACTGAAAGTTGGGAATGAGTCTGCCTAATGGCAATACTGAACTCTCTGCGCACAAGCTGGTGGAGTTCAGCGGTGGAAACCCTGTCCAGGAGACCATCTACTTCGGAAGGTAACTTGCCACGGCTTTTGCCACCAAGGCCTGGGTGCAGATGACAAATGCTGCATGTCTGGGCTTGATGCTGTGCCTGCCTTTGCTGCCTCAGAGCCTGGACCGAAGGAAGGAGATGCAGAGTCAGAGGCAAAGCATCTGCAGGGTTACCTGTGTCAGACTGGGAATCACCCAGCTCAGCTGAGTCAGCACCAATTCCCTCCCTAATAGACTTATTTAGGAGTAGTAGGTATCTCTCTTGCCTCCTGAACTATTTGTCTCAGAATCAAGCTGATATGCAGATAATAGATCAGCCTAAGTCTAGCCAGCCACCTGAGCTCATGTTAACATTAGCATAACCTCTACTAACATGAGCTGGAAAAGAGACTTCAAGTTTGAAGTCTAAGCTGCTTGTTGAGAGTCAAACAGAAAGCTGTGGACATGGGATTGGCTCCTCTTCTATCATACAGCACATCAAACGCACGGCGATGTGAAGAGGGATCCAGTTACGCACCTAATGAGATTCCCAAGGCACCAAATCCAGCCGCTTATGTTTTGTGCTAACATCTACAACATAACCTGTGAATTACATATGACATAATCTATTCTCTTTTATGCAAAAAGGAAAATATAGAAAGTGAGTAATTGCATCTAAAAAGCTACAACTTCTCCAGGAAAAGAGATCAGATAAACTAACTGTGGTTGCTAGGCATCTTGTATCTCACAGGAAGCTTCATGAAAACCTCTGTGGCACCATCCATCAGGACATGAAGAATTTGAAGGCTCTCTTGGTCTTCTATCAGCACTTCCAGTCCCCTCCCAGACTGCACCTCTCTGATGTAACAGATCCTCTCAACCATTACCTTTACAATTTTTTCATCAGTTGAGCTAAAGAGAAAACTAATAATTTGGAGCTTCCTTGATACCAGGACAACTTCTGGCCCAGGCACAGTGTTTCCAGTGTGAGCACATTCTATTAACTTCTTCCTTTTTTCCAGATTTTAACACAACAAAATTTCTCCCTTAAAAGCTAGAAGCAGACAAAGTAAGCAGAATAAACAGAAGTAGACTGAGAATAAAGATCACCTGGCAGTTTTGATTGTATTAGTGTCTTTACTCAGTGATACTTCTGGGAATAAGGATGTAGTGTCACCCGGACAGTGTTTCTGGCACCATACTGATCACTCCGTCATGTTTCTGGGAAAAGACTAAAAAATACTGGCCCCAACAGGTGAGATCCCTTCTCTTGAAAGATCCTCTGCTATGCCAGTAAAAATCATGTATTTGCATGTACTAAAACCTCAGAAAATTGTTTACTTCATAAAAATTAACAAAAAAAAAGACATGCTCAGAAGCAGGTGATTCATTTTCTGGAATAGAAGAAACACTTCAGTTTATGCCAAGATAACTCTCACCTCGCACACTCAGCCGGTGACTCAGAGCACACAGGCACATCCCAAAGTGGAGTCACTGACTTATCTCGTTCCAGCTTTAGCCTCATCTTCTGCAACCCTCAAAACGCTCTTATGCACAGCTGCTGCCCAAATTAATCATCCACATTCTCATCCCAGCAATCTGTGCCTGTGAGACTGAGAATCCCACTTTTCCACACGCCAGGAGGTTTACAAAGAAAGTTTCCACATGAAACTCTCTCCTCAGAGCTTAAGAGACAGAGGATTGCTTCTGTCTCTAGTTTCCACATTGGATCAAAAAAAAAAAAAAAAAAAGGAGATGTGGTTGGATAAGAAAGTGTGTGTCTGTTACCAGAACAGACAGTACCAGCCATGAAACAACACTTTAGGTATGTGGGCATTAGGAAGATGCTATTCCTGACCTCTGCAGGTCTCTTATTCCCTTCAGCCTCCAGCTACCTTTCCCCCTTGTACATCCTTCCTGCAAGTAATTCTGATCCTTCCTCTTTGCCCTGGAAACTTACAAATCATTTCTGTCAAAATAGCAGCTAGTATATGTAACAATTCATGTAAGATAAGTAATAGGGCACAATAAAATCATCTAAACTCAGAAGAAGAGAAATCACACGGATATATACGTCATCAATACCAAGTTCTGCCGACTCTAAGCACTGTAAATGTCTTTCGATAGTTGTTTAACCATGCTCAGGTGCCTCAGGTCACTAAGCCTTAAATGAGTTCAAAAATATTTACAGTTGTAAATGCTTCAATTTTCTAACAATCCCATCAGGAAAGCCCTTTACCAAACGATCAGCTTCTAGTATGTAGTGGAGTCAATCAATAACTTCCAGTAGCCTCTTGAGAATGTCAAGTCATGTAATGCTACATCTCAGTTTAATTCTCGGTTTTGTTCTCTCTGCTTAGTTTTCCTCTACAGCTTTATGTCAGAACTGAGTAGACAATCTCCAAAAGGAGAAAACTATCTTTTCAGAAATAAATTTTGCTCAAGCTACCACTATTTATAGATGTGCCTGTGGGAAGTTTAGCTGAAAAGATGTTCTCCCGTCCCTCTCATTTTACAGATATCTATGGCTGTGAAAAGATCAGACAGCAATTATTAATGAGTCAGATAATTTCTTCCTGTTCAGAAAGATTTTGATACCATGTTGCAACTAATCATAGGTATGCAACAAATTGCTGGCATGACTCCCACAAATTTTAACCACAAGTTGTAGTTTTGGATGTAAAGCAGAGTTATTATATTCTGAAGCCAACTTCTCTTTTCCAGTGGGAACATCAAGAAATCACATCTCTTTTAATGGTCTAAGTTCGTCACTACTTTGTGTGCAGAATTTTACATCAAATTTGTTACATGTATCTTCAGAATTATTACATAAATTATTGTTCTTTA